ATGAAAATGAATGCCGCTAACTGCCAGTTGACCTTCGCACCGGATTTCTAGCCGTTCCCTCTCTTCCCTTTTTTATTAGCGGCAGCCACAGTAATTATGGTAAATTGAATCATAGTGAAAACTGGAATCAGTCAGTAATGAGAGTTTTCTACTGTGTGAAAGTGAAGCAGCAGCAGCAGCACAGGAGAGAGCTGCGGGAGGATGGAGCGATGAGGAGGGAGGCGTGGACGTATTGTTTCTGTTTGGATGTTTGTGCTCCATATGGCTGCTGCAGGAGCACACACATACACACACACACATACACACACATACACACACACACACACACACACACACACACACACACACACACACACACACACACACACACACAATCGCCACTGTAGTATTTATAATGTCAGATTCTTACACACTGTGACTACACGTTATCACACTTTTCCCTCAGCAGTGACACAACTTCAGCTGTCAAAATATGTATGTGTTTGTGTGTGTGTGTGTGTGTGTGTGTGTGTGTGTGTGTGTGTGTGTCCATAAAATTACCAAGCCTTTTAAAGAAACGTGGAAAAAAAAGAATACAGTTTTTATTATCCACGACAGCAGACATTTTCCTTCTCACTCACACTTGTCCAAACAGGTTGCGCTGCCAGAGTGTGTGTGTTTGTATGCGTGCATGTGTGCGCGTGTGTGTGTGTGTGTGTGAGAGAGAACGTGAGCCAAACAAAACACAGGCAAAGGGCCAGACCGCACTTCCACTGATAGAGAGAGGCTTAAAAAAAAGCTGCAGAGCGAGCGAGAGAGCGAGTGGGTCTGAACTGAGTCTCCTCTCTGACGGACTGAAGTCACTTCTCTCTGTCAACATCTGTGTGTTTTATTTCTGCCATGTTGCATCCAAACCCTTCTGAGCGTGTGTGTGTGTGTGTGTGTGTGTGTGCAGGCTTTAGTTTGTAAACTATTTGCCAATTTAGAACCAATTATTGTGCAGTTTATATCCATTTACAACAGTGGAAATGACAACTTGTTCTTGTCCTTCCACTTACTACATTATAATGAGATTATAATGTGTCTAAAACGGAATATTGTGTAAAAACTAAGATTAAAAAGTAAGGTATCATAAGTGTAGAATATTTGATGCCTTTGGAAATATTGCTGCTTACAAAACTCTGGAACATTTTCTGTTTGTTTTATCAAAAAATCAGCTACATTTAATTTAGTTTAGTTTTTTAGCACAGAAGTTACAATAAAATATATTACACAGTAAAACAGCTTTATTAATTGTGCAGGAGAGGCGAGTCATCCCTTTCATTTCAGCAAGTCTTTAAAGACGTACTACATAAAGAAATACAACAGCAGATAGATAAACAGCATGTATACATCTCAAGGTGGAGCTACAAAATACTGTCGCATAGAAATGCATTTAATATTTTAATATTCTGATTCTAAACCGTTTCCTCTTCATTGAACACTTTTCACAGAAGTTAGATCTGAGCCGACTTTACATGAATCTGTATTTCTGTTTAAGCAGTGATAGCTTCTCATGTCCGCTGTGCAGGCTGGCCAGCTGTGTGTAACATTCACATTTTCCCTGTCTTCCTGTTTGTCTCTGAGGCCTGAAACATGACAACACATTTTTCAATGTTGAATGTTTTTTATCCAAATCATAAACACAAACCATTCACACGTTTTTTTTTTTTTACAGTTAATTCCACACATAACAATTCTCCGCAGAGTTTAGAAGTTCTAACTTTCGATGTAATATGTTGCAGACATGGTGCACAGTGGTATGTCAGAGGAACAGAGCCACACAGCACATCAACAACATCACACTGAACTTCATGAATCATAAAACTACATGTCTGATAAGACTGACTCAGGCGCTAATGCGTATCACACACACGTATTACATGTCACTGACAGCTCTGAGTGAAGAGTTAGAGACACAGTTAGTGAGGCAGCTTCAACTTAACTGATGAACTAACAGAGGCGGTGATGTCACGGTAAATAACTGGACCTAAAGCAACTTACGGTAAAGTTTTCATGGCAGGACTAAATTATTTTTATTTGATGTATTTTCACTCATTAGATTCACATGTGTAAGAAAAGAATGGACTCTTATAGTTTTAATATTTCTATAAAGACGAGCTGGAAACAGAAAGTGAACTGATGTAACCTGATGTCCCCCTCACACACGTACACACACACACACACACACACACACAGACACACACACACACACAAACACACACACACACACACACACACAGAGTTTGAATTATGATCTACTGTGTGTGGATTTACAGTTTGTGTACGCGCATGTGTGTGTGTGTGTGTGCATGTGTGTGTGTGCGTGTGTGTGTGTGTCTGTGTGTGTGTGTGTGCATGTGTGTGTGTGCGTGTGTGTGTGTAAGGCAGAAACACACACAGAGAGAAGAGAAAGGAATCTATGCAGATGCAGAGGGGAGAGTGTGTTTTCTTATTCAGTCCCACACACACACACACACACACACACACACACAAACACTCCATAAAACATGGGTGTCTGCATTCTACCAAATAAAGTGATGAGCAGTTCTCTCTCTCTCTCTCTCTGTTTTTTTCATATGGAAATAGGAAATAATGGGGTGATTAAATAGAGTCGTATATTAAAGTACAGCTGACATTAGAATTAGCATAATGTGCTCTCGCCTCGGGCTGCATACTTTATTTGCCATCTGCGTTGGACTCCCTTCCCCCAGGAGGGCGCACACTCACACACACACACACACACACACACACACACACACTTCCCCCAAACAAATACCATGACCCGCTCCTTCCATTGCAGCCATGGAGAAATGGCGTTTCAGTGCAGAAACACACACTATATCTCACACACACATGGACCCACACAGACACACACACACACACTCTGCCTCTGCTCTTAATTGTTGGGCACAAATGAACATCGACTGCCCCCCCCATGACTTCTGTCAGCAGATGAGAAGTTCAGCTAAAAGACAGAGGATGGAGGGAGGATCATCTCCTTCTCTCTCTTTTACTCACGGATCAACGGGTTGAGCGAACAGAGAGAGAGAGAGAGGGAGAGATGGGGGGGGTGTTCTGGGTCTTAAGATTCAACAGTAAAACAGCTTTTGTGTGTGTGTATGTGTGTGCGTGTGTGAGAAAGCATAGAGACATAGAAAGGAGCTGTTATTTTCATTGTTTGCTTCTGTGTGTGTGTATATGTGTGTGTGTGTGTGTGTGTGTGTGTGTGTGTGTGTGTGGGGAGGGGGTGTTGGGGGGTTAAGGGGTGGGTGGGTGGAGGGGTTGTTGTCCACTGTAATTAAGTCAAAAGGCTTTACAGGACTGTGGAGGTGAACAGCTGTTCCGCCTCTTGCCTTTCCTCCTTAACACACACACATGCACACACACATGGGCGAGTGAGAGAGAGAGAGATATGTTTCAGTGAGAGGTTAACTGTTAAAGTTTCATGTCTAATGGTGAGAAATGAAATGATAGATTTACAGATTGTTGAATTATTTAAGGAAATATTTTTTTTGCCTGTTATATTGATTATATATCTTACAGATATTTCACATGCATTTCAACAGAATAGTTATAAGTAGCAAATATTGTTGGATGACCGTTGAAGCCTTAAACATGTTGGATTTAAATATATGCATCTCTGTTGAACTGGTTATATTTTTTTGCATTCTGCATGTATTTAATTTCAATTAAATTTTTTCAGAAAATGCATGTGAATGAGCGAATAAACATACAGTGCATTCTGATATAAACACACAAAATATTATTAATACACAGCGTACATGCCTGTATTTTCTCTGTGTTTAACCACAAGAAATTGCTACAGCTACACACACACACACACACACACACACATAAGTGAAATAATTAAAGCAGTGTATGTTTTCCCTGGTATCTGAAACAAGTGTACCAGGTCAAGACTACAAGCTTTCATTTATTAAATATGAAAGCAAGAGCACAATTACCATTATCGGTGTATACTCCCTGTAGGAGTGCTCCTCAGCCTGTTCACTTCTTTAGTTGTGCATCAAGCTCAGTCGTGTCACGGTTGTAACAATATCCTTTGGAATTGCGGGACCCTGCATGTGTACTGAATGTGTGTATTGTATTAATTAGTTATTAAAATCAGAGCAAATCTTCACCTGGAAATTATATTATTACTGTTACTGCTCCTAGAATTGACAAATTAATTAACTCCAAAGCAGTGGATGTTGTTTCTGTGACTGTAGAGTCAATATTTAAGCATCTAAACAAGTCTGTGACTTATATAATTATAATAACCACTTTATAATCTTTAATCTATTTGTATTTTCTTCATACACTCATTTGTCTTTTCGCTTTTATTTTATTTCCTGCAAAGAGCTGATACATCAGTGTGTGATAAGTCTTCAAGCGCTGCATCCTCTATCTTCACCAATATGAGTGTGACATCTCTAACTCAGCAAACATTACAGACTCTCAGCATGCTCATGCATGCACACATACTCACACACATCTACCATCACGCTTACTGTACGTATAAGCACACACACACACAGTCACACACACTGTAATAATTCAGCAGTTTGTAGTGGGAGATTCACTCTGCACTAAGTGAGAGATTAAGTACCTCTTAAAACATGGATCCAGTGCTGGCCAATCCAGTGTAACTGTGAAAATGCACTTCTCAAAAGCGTGATAAGTACGTAGCATTTATGTGACAACATGGAGAGACAAGGTCTTTCCAGCTACTCGTCAATGTATAAAACACACACACTCACACACACGTTACATCTCTCTCTCTCTCTCTCCTGTCAGCCAGAAGTTTACACACTGCAAATAAGCTTTTATTTGAAAAGATGGTGTTAATGGTTTTTTGAATCATGAATGAAGTTGAGTTTGACCTAATAAAAAGGGACAGAGTGTTGTAGTTGTGCTTGTCCATCTCTGTCTCAGCTGAAATATTTCATGTATGTCTTTGTCTGTGTTGCAGGTAGCAGGGACGAGCCTTCCAGCTATATCTGCACCACGTGTAAGCAGCCCTTCCCCAGCGCCTGGTTCCTGCTGCAGCATGCCCAGAACACCCATGGTATCCGCATTTACTTGGAGTCCAACCCCTCCAGCACAGCCCTCACCCCACGCATCACTATGCCTCCTCCCATGGGCAACGACTCCATCCCGCAGTCCCCCCTCACCAACTTTCTCGGGGACAACAACCCCTTCCACCTCCTGAGGATGACAGGTCCTCTGCTCCGAGAGCCTCCTCCGGGCTTCGTGGAGAACCGGCTCCCCAACACGCCTCCATTTGTCAGCCCACCTCCCCGCCACCACCTGGACCCCCACCGGCTGGAACGCCTTAGTGCAGAGGAAATGGGCCTCATCTCCCAGCACCCCAGTGCCTTTGAGAGGGTGATGCGGCTAACGCCCATGGCCATGGAGTCCCAGTCCATGGACTTCTCCAGACGGTTACGTGAGCTGGCAGGGAACACCAACAGCACCACACCACCGTTGTCACCAAGCAGGGCTAACCCTATGCACCGACTACTAAACCCCAACCCCTTCCAGCCTGGGCCAAAATCTCCCTTTCTGAGCACTCCTCCCTTACCTCCAATGCCCCCAAACAGTACCACCCCTCCCCAGACACAGAACAAGATCAAGTCTTGTGAGTTCTGCGGTAAGACCTTCAAGTTCCAGAGCAACTTGGTGGTGCATCGGCGCAGCCATACTGGAGAAAAACCTTACAAGTGCCAGCTGTGTGACCATGCTTGCTCTCAGGCAAGCAAGTTGAAGCGCCACATGAAGACCCACATGCACAAGGCTGGATCCCTGACCGGGCGCTCAGATGACGGACTGTCTACCACGAGCTCCCCAGAGCCGGGCACCAGCGACGTCACAGGGGAGGGTATGAAGAATCGTGATGGGGACTTCCAGGGGGAAGGCAATGAAGAGGAGGAAGAGGAGGAAGAAGAAGAGGAACTTGAGAACGAGAGTCGACCAGAATCCAACTTCAGCATGGAGTCTGAGTTCTACCGGAACAGGGAGAATGGTTCTAAACCACCCTCAGAGGAGAAGTCATCTCTTGCCCTTGAGAAGATGGTGGAAGGTGGGGGCCTCAACTCTATACAGCAGTACAATAATTTGATAGTTGACAATCGTAAAAGGATGCCCTTCTCCAAGAGGGGCTCAGATGGCCACCGGGACACTGGGGATGAGGACTCAGTGGCTGGGGAGATGGACCACCACCAGCAGGAAGAGAGGACCACCATTAATGGCCGGAACTGTGGCTCTGGTGACTCTTTCTCAGGCCTGTTCCCCCGTAAGCCCACCCCCATCACCAGCCCCAGTCTGTCCAACTCCTCAAATAAGAGGATCAAGATTGAGAAGGACTTGGACATTCCCCCAGCACCCCACATCCCCTCTGAGAACGTCTACTCCCAGTGGTTGGTGGGCTATGCTGCCTCACGCCACTTCATCAAAGACCCTTTCCTAGGTTTCACCGACTCCAGACAATCTCCCTTCGCCACCTCCTCCGAGCACTCGTCAGAGAATGGCAGCCTGCGGTTCTCAACGCCTCCGGGAGACCTGCTAGATGGCGGTCTGTCAGGCCGCAGCGGTACCGCCAGTGGGGGCAGCACACCTCATCTGGGTGGGGGCGCTGGCCCAGGCCGACCTAGCTCCAAGGACAGCAGGAGGTGTGACACCTGCGAATTCTGTGGCAAGGTGTTCAAGAACTGTAGCAACCTGACGGTGCACCGGCGCAGTCACACTGGCGAGCGGCCCTACAAGTGCGAGCTGTGCAACTATGCCTGCGCCCAGAGCTCCAAGCTCACGCGCCACATGAAGACACATGGCCAGCTCGGTAAGGAGGTCTACCGCTGTGACATTTGCCAAATGCCCTTCAGCGTGTACAGCACTCTCGAAAAACATATGAAAAAGTGGCATGGAGAACATTTGATGACCAATGAGGTCAAAATTGAACAAGCAGAGAGAACCTAAAGCAGGTTCCTTATTTCCATACTCTGCGCCACACTTTGACTTAAAAAAATAAACAAAATGGGGTAGCTGGATACTCTTTTTCTGAAATATTACTTTTGGGTTAATTTTGTGTTTTTGCCTAAGAAACTGCCAACTGAGAAAAAAAAGTAAAAACAGAGATCTTAACACCAATTGAAGCTGTCTAAACTGCCTCATTTGGCGTTCCTTTTTAAACAATCAGTCAGTTGAGTTATAACATATGTGGAGCCTTTAACTGTGCAATAATTTCTGTATTTATTGGATTTTGTATTTGGGCATGTGCAGGTACATTTTTATTTAGGCATTTTTTTTTAAATTTGTTTTACTTTTACTTTGCGTTATTGTTTTTTAAAAACCCACATGATATCCTGAGAGTTTTTTAGAAGACAAAAGTCCATTTTAAGTAAATCTTTTTGGCCGCTACATGTAGGAAGTTGTATATTAAGCTAAACATGTGATTTCTTGAAGAGAAGGTGAATTCAATCTTCAATTTGGAAGTGGCGTTAACTGAGAATGCTAGAATTAGTTTATTTTGTGTGATGATGATGATACGCGGACAACAATCCTTTGGCACTGTAGCATGAACTGACTCTAAAACATGTCAATATAATTGGATATGTAGCACTGAGTGTCATATTTGACAGTAAATGTAAAATCAAAGAGGTTTCCTCCTGAGAACACCACAACCAGCCAGAAGAAACTGATTCTAGATAAGGCAGCTGCTGACTGGTACGTAGTGCCAAGTCCTGACAACGCTACGACAACCACCCCTCATTTCTTCTGCTTTCCACCCCCCACCCCTCTCCACTTACTACCATCTTACCTACATTCATACATCCATGTATTATATTTTGCATGAAGCCATATGATTTAGGCGATATTATTTATTAGGACTAAACTGAGCATGAAGCCATGCCAAACGAGTATAAACAGAGAGAGATGGAAGACTGACATGAGAGTGAGCACAGGGACATCTCAGGGTGAGCTATACTACTTCTCTTTATTTATCCACTCATTCTTATGTTCCACAGGCATTTCCATTTCATCCTATGTTGGAATCATCAAGGACAGTTATGTCCTCTTGCTTCCCTCTGCCCCGCCCATCTGGCTAATGTTCAAGCTTTATCCTCATTTCATAGTACACATCTATATTTGAAGTCACAACTTCTGATTATAACATGAATTAGTTAAGAGATGGTTAAATGTATGTGCATACATGGTAGATGCCAAACACTTTAACTGGATTTCTGCAGAAAATTTATGTCTCACATTTTATTGTCGAAATTTATAAAAAATCAAAATCCCTATGCATTTTTGTGCTGAAATATATTACAATTTGTTGAAATGACATTAGTAGTAAATTTTGACTTGTATTGTTATAGTGATTCTATAATTGTATAATCTGATTAATGAAGTCACCTCTCCAGGAATAAGAATCCTTCAAGGTTTCACTCTTACTTGTGAGACACGTTTGTGTAGAAGAGGACAAATGTTTAAGCGTGTGCTGAGATAGTGAGACTAATATTAAGGCAAACAGCACCAGCTCACTCCATGCTCCTTTTGTAATTTTAAATATCATAACCCCAGGTTTTTTTTTTTTTTCATAGTGGCACTTTTTTTAAATTTTTAAATCAGATTTGATTTAATGTTGTCAATATACAAATTCAGAGCTCTTAACAACAGACCCACACTTTATGATTTTCCGTCCAACACACACAGAAAGCTGGACAGAAAAGGTACTAATGGGTCTAGGGCTTGGGATCTCCTGACACTGAAGTGCCCAGGGTTGTTAGGCTTGGCTTTCCCAATGCTGGCACTATAAAATAAAGTAAAAAAAAGGAATAATAATTTATCTGTGACAGTTCTTGTACTGCCATTCAATTTGACATGAGTGTGCCTTGAATAATGATCTTCCTATTTATTGTCTCAGACAAATGCAACAGTTTTGATGAAGCATCAAATTGAACAAGACAAATAAACTAAAATGTTGTTAACTTTAATGTGTAATTTGACATTTCAACAGAATTATTTAAATTAATACAAACGAAACAATGCTGAGTTTAGGTTTAGGAGTACCCAGCACAATACTGATGTGTCTGTGTGTGTATATATGTATGCATATGTACATATAAAGGCACAAGCATATATATAGATATATATCAAATTCCTCACTCACAAGGACAAGAGTCTGTCCTTCAACAGAAAATTCCAGGAGTGAACAAAAGCCACACAAAAAGTCAAGAAGAGACTGGACAGAAATCAGGAACCGCAGAAACTAAAAAAAAAGAATTTCGTGCACTCTGTCTTAAAATAAGTTTACAGTATTGAAACAAGTACAAGGGTAAAATAATATTTGTGTGTATGTGTGTTTTGAACAACCAAGTATTTTTTTTCCAGGTTTGCTTCTAAAGTTCCTCTGAATGCCGTAGTGGCGATGTGTATATTTTTTTCTTTCTTTTTCTTTTTTCTTTTTTTTTTTTTTTTTTTTGATTTCTTTTTTTTTTTTTGGTGACGGGGTTTTAGTATATATATATAAATATATATGAATATATATTACATTTTTCTTGTTTACTGTAAAAGTATACCAGTATTTGTAATATTGGAGAATGCCTGGGCATTTTACAAAAATAGAAAAAAGATTGTTTTTTTATTTTTTATTTTACAGTCCAATTTAAATTGTGGGTCTCTTAAACTGTTTTTGTCACTGTAACTGTAAAAGTCTTAAGTTTTAGTAACTTTTATTCTGCCTTGGGTGTAATGAAATAAAAAATAAATGAATTAAAAAATGACTGAGCTGTAACACACTTGGATTTGGTGGGGGGAGAGCGGGGTGTGGGTGGGTGGGGCGCTCCATTAACAGATGGAGGTTTTCTCCCTTAGAAACGACGGAACGTTGGTTCTGCTTTTCAGGAAAATCACACTGAGAATCCTGACTTGTATCTATTTTTCTTCTTCTGGAATGGATTATTCTTCATGGATGGTGTGAAATACATGTGTAGGCACTTGCTGTCTTTCCTAAGGAGCTTGTCTTTTTTAACTTGTAGGCTATGTGCATCCTTTGTGAATAGGGTACCCTGAGTACCTTGGGACGTCTTGCTCTTATATTGGGTGCAGGGGGAGGGTGACTTCATTCCAGTGACAAGACACAACTTACAGGCTGCCACGGTCTATTTTTCCTCTCATTGGGCAGGATAAACAGAACCTGATGAATTTGTACTGTTGTAATGAATCACATTGTACAGATGGGGATCAAAAAAGGTTGTTTGATGGCCTTTTAGTGACAAAAACACAAGTCGATGTTTTGTTTACGGCGCCACTGGTTGTACATAGTTTTTTATGACTGTTTTCATTTTGTTTGACGTTTTATTTTCTTTTTTTCTTTTATTTGTTTGTGATTTCTAACTGGCACTGGCAGTGAATTCCTGTGTTTTGGGGGGAGGGGGTGGGGATTCTTCTGTTTGACCTTTGTGACCTCCATGTCAGTTTTCAGGCACATGCCTCCCCCGTTGATATTTCTCGGCATGAGAACAGAGCACAAATACAAGCTGTTACAATTCTCCAGCCTCTGCTTGTTTGTCTCATTTTGTTCTTTGAGTTGATCTGAAGGAAGGGAGCTGTGGAAAAACACAATTACAACATAAATCTGCAAATACTTTTCATACACTAAGGTTTTAGACACAACGCAGAAAACAGAGACTACATGTTATCTACAAACACGTTTACTGCTGCTGAAATCATGTGAGCACCAGCCAGGCAAAGCAGTGCTGAGGTGATGAAGAAAAAAACAACCTGACTTGTGTATTTCATTCCTTTTAATGCTTTTTACACTCACAGAAAAATGCTTGCTGGTTAGATAAAACCCTGAAAGCTACTGACTTACCCATCAGCAGCAGCACCTCTCTAAAAGACGCATAAACTAATTCAGTAAAGTGGCATTTCATAGTTTTATTATGAGAGCAGACTTTTACTGTCAGCCACTTTTCCCGATGCTTTCTTATTTCCTGTTTTTATTTGCTCTCCCTCCAGGTCCTTCCAATCAAGATCTAATCAGTTCCACATCCTATACTGACAGCTTACTTTAGATCTACTCATGTTTGTACTGAAAAATAATAATGAAAATAAAAAGCAGTGTTGGGATGAAGTTGAGAAAATGTCATTTTTAATATGTAATAATGTCTAAATGCAGAGAGGGTGGGGAGACTCAGGCTGGGGGTGTGGCCTTTATGCAGAAGGGATGAAATGCTGTTTGTGATGTCAGTTTATTTAAATACATAAACTGACTCTGATAGGCTGGTCATAGTAAACATGACAGGTCTCCAGTAACAAGTTACAATGAGGTACTCAAAGATACACAAAGATACACTTTACAATGAGGTACACAAAGACACTTTAAAATAAGTTACACAAAGTTACACTTTACAAAAGATACACAAATATACATTTTACTGTAAGATACACAAAGATTCACTTTACAATAGATTACACAAAGATGTGAGTGTTTCCTGAGGAACAATGAGGCAATGTTTCAAACTAAAAGCACAACTGACGCTGCCGCTGTGAACATCTCCATGAATGTTGAAATCAGCCACTATAATGACGTCATCTGTAGTGAGAACAAACCCTGATAAGAGCTAGAAGAACTAGAAGAAGTGATGGGCAGGTTGACGATACACACCCACTAGTAGAACGGGTTTTTGTTTTCCAGCCTGCGTTTCAGACTAAGAATGATGTTTTCAAATGAGTTATGACTAAGTTTAGGTTTGGGGTTGATTGATAGGCTGGAGTGAAAAACGGCTGCGATCGCTTCCTCCTCCTCTGCCTGTGCTTCGAGGAATGTGAGAATTATTAGTGGGGGGAGTATAGGGGGTGTTGATTCATTCAGACTAACATATTCTTCCCGCTGCAGCCAGGTTTCAGTAAGACACAGTAGATCAATGTGATGATCAGTCATCAAACCGATAACAGAACTAAGGTGTGTGTTTACATTTTCATTTGAATTTCTTTTG